CCACAGGCACGCATGGTGGCTGCTGCCACCAACAACCTGTGCGAAGCTGCCAACGCCGCGGTGCAGGGCCATGCCAGTGAAGAGAAGCTCATCTCGTCTGCCAAGCAGGTGGCTGCCTCCACGGCACAGCTCCTGGTGGCCTGCAAGGTGAAGGCTGACCATGACTCGGAGGCCATGAAGCGGCTCCCGGTGAGTTCCGGGTGAGCCCCAGCCTGCCCCTCCAGCCTCAGCTGCCTCCTCCCAGCTGCTGGAGAGATGGGTGGGAGTGGGGTGAGGGCACATGGGTGCTCCCCAGGGCTCATGGTCCCTGCCTGCGTGCCATCAGCCGGGACCTCATGGGAGCACAGGCTCCAGGTCGCTTGGACTTCACTGCTAGCTGGCTGCCAGGCGCGTGGGTGATGCTGGGCTGCTGAGTCTGGTGGCGTTTGAGGATGATTAACTGGCAGAGGAATGCCTGAAATGCATGCACTGCATCACTGGCATTCGAGAGGTTAATGTTTGGGGGCATATTTTGTTGCACCCTTAATTCTTAGAGGCCATGGCACACAAGAGGTTAATGCCCATGCGTTGGGGAGTTAACATGGGGTCCCAGCGCCAGTCCCTGGGGGCCAAGGGCTGGGGAGCGTCAGCAGGGCTGCCCCCCAGTCCCTGCCCCATAGCTCAGACAGGAGCCAGAGCCCGGCTGGGAGCAGCAGTGCCTGAAATGGTCATGAGCGGGTGGCAAGGCAGCAAGCCATGTAAAGGAATCCCTGCCTGCAGCTCCCAGCACGCCTGGCTGCCTGTCCTGCCTGCCAGCCCAGCCTGGGGCAGGGGTTCTGTCATCCCCCCAGGCAGCAGTTGTACCCTAGGGCAGTGACTTACGCTGGTACCCTCGTCCTTCCCTGCTGCAGGCGGCCGGCAATGCAGTAAAGAGAGCGTCGGACAATCTGGTGAAGGCAGCTCAGAAGGCAGCTGCCTTCCAGGACCATGATGAAACGGTGGTGGTGAAGGAGAAGATGGTCGGGGGAATTGCACAGGTGAGGAGCAGGGCCACGTTGATGGGGCAGGGGCAGCTCTGGCTGCTACCGCACCCTGTGTGTGCCTGTCTCAGGAGCATGTCCTACCACGCACCAGCACGGGGCATGTCTCCAGAGAGCCTCACAAAAATACTGCAGGTGCATCCATCCCACATAGTGACAATTAATCGCTGTGGCTTCACCCTTGTCCTGCCACGTGTAGCAGTGGGCACAGCCGGTGATGGTGCACGCTCCCAGGAGTGTAATGCCCTGGCTTCTCCTCAGTGCAGTGCCCACACCCATCCCTGTGTTCATGAAACATGTGAAGGACAGAGTATTGGGTAAGGGGTGACAGCTGCCTGGTACGGGGTGCCACAGGTGCCAGCGCTGCCTCCTGGCCCCAGGCTCACAGCTGAGAGCTTCTACAGGGCGTGTGGGGCTGAGCCCCGGGAGCTGTGCTGCTCCCCGTTATCTCCAGATCTCCAGGGGACCATGGTCCCACCGCAGAGACAACAGCCCTCATGCCTGAGGCCACACCAGCCCAAGGAGGCTGTGATGGGAGGGAAGGAGCAGCCGGAGAGCCCGGCCCTGGGGTAGGCATTGCCACAGCAGAGGCTCCAGCCATCCCTGTCCGAGGCAGCTGTGACCCCAGGGCTTTCTCTTGGCAGATCATCGCTGCCCAGGAGGAGATGCTGCGCAAGGAGCGGGAGCTGGAGGAGGCGCGGAAGAAGCTGGCCATGATCCGGCAGCAGCAGTACAAGTTCCTGCCCTCGGAGCTGCGGGACGAGGAGCAGAACTGAGCCCCGTGCCCTCCTGCCGCTCACCGCACTGACTGCCGCCCGCTCACCCGCTCCTATTTAAGACGACCCGCCTCAAGCAAAGGGCTGTCTGGGCTAGACCAGAGCTCTGCCTGCACACAGAGTGCCGGGACTAACCCAGCTGCTGCTCCAAGCTGGCGCTGCACCAGCAACTCCGCTTTGCCGCCCAGCCCA